TCATCCACAACTCTATTACCAAACCAGTGCTTTCCTATATCCTTCCTGAACCTGAATTTTTCCAACTTAAAACCATTGCTGTGAGTCCTGTTTGGCTGGAAATTTTCAGCACTCTATTTACATCCCCTTTATTTATTCCTGTTTTCCATTCATACACCTCGATAATATCCCTCTTAATTCTACGTCTTTCGAGAGAGTGCAGATTCAGGGCCCTCAGTCTATCCTCGTAGGGAAGGTCTCTGATACATGGGATCATCTTTGTCATCCTCCTCTGTACGTTTTCCAGTGCATTTATATCCATTCTGTAATACGGTAACCAGAACTGTGCAACATAATCTAAATGAGGCCTAACCAAGGATATATAGAGTTGAAGAACAACCTGAGGACTTCCATTATTTATACTTCTTAATATGAAGCCAAGGATTCTCTTAGCTTTATTGCGAACACTAATGCACTGTTGTCGTGGGTTTAGATTATTGCTAACCAGAACTCCTAAATCCTTTTAGTTTATATGTGGCATGGCTATTTTCCTGTCCAGCATTTAGAACTTTGCATTTGTCAATATTAAATTGCATCTGCCTCTTCTCCGACCATTGCATCAGTCTATTCATATCATTCTGGAGTGCTCTAGTATCCTCATTAGAATGAATTGGCCGGCCTATTTTGGTGTCATCAGCAAATTTGCTTATGTCGCTATTTATTCCCTCATCTATGTTGTTTATGTAAATTGTGACCAAGCGGAACACCGCTTGTGACGTGCCCCCATTCTGATTTCTCCCCATTTATGCAAACTCTCTGCTGCCTATTTGTCAGCCACGTGTGTGTTAAAGAGGTTATGCCTCTACCCAGGAAAAAATTTCTCTTCCTATTCCGTGTACCTTAAGTTTCCTCAATAGCCTCTGATGTGGAACTCTATCAAAAGCCTTACTGAAGTCCATATACACAATATCATATTCATTACCATGATCTACCTTCACAAACACCTTAGTGAAAAAAGTTAGTAAATTCGTAAGACAGGAACGCCCCTTTGTAAAACCGTGTTGAGATTCGTTAATCAATTTATGCCTATCAAGATGGCTACGAATTGCTTCGGCAATTATTCATTCCATAAATTTTCCCACTATGGAGGTAAGGCTTGTTGGTCTATAGTTCGAAGCTAAGGACCTGTCACCTGCCATGTAAATAGGTATTACAGTTGCCATTATACACTTATCAGGCACTATGCCAGTTTGTAGTGATATGTTGAAAAGATTAGCTAAGTTCCTCTTTACATTCCTCGAACACCCTTGCAAACAGTTCATCAAGGCCTGGGGATTTGTTAGGTTTTAATTTCTCTATTTGTCTGAGGACCATGTCACTAGTTACTGCAATCGTGCATAGTTTATTATCGTCCTGTTCTACATAATCTATTATTTCAGCAATTTCGCTAGTATTTTCCAGGATAAAAACTGAGAGGAAGTAAGTATTGAAAATTTCACACATATCCTTATCACTGTCAGTGATCTGACCTGAGTTACTCTTTATTGGGCCTATCTTATCCCTAATCTTATTTCTGTATATCTGAAAGAACCTTTTTGAGTTAGTCTTCGAATCCCTTGTGACCTTAGCCTCATAATCCCTTTCTGCTTTTCTTATTCCTTTTTTTTCTCTCTTTAAGTGAGTATATTGATTTCTTAACTGCCCATCCCCTCTTTTGATATGCCTAAATATGCCTCTCTTTTGACCAATGAGATGTTTTAATCTATTGTTCATCTATTTGGGATCATTTTTGTTAGATCTAATTTCCCTACTCGGAACAAAAATTGTCTGGGCAGCTAGAACTATGCTCTGAAAAACGTCATATTGGCAACCAAGATCACCTACCTGACCCATAGTCAGGTCATCCCAATTTAGCCCACCCAGGTAATTTCCCAGTCTCATGAAATCGGCCAAGCGAAAGTCTGGGAAAGAGATTCGATTGCAGTTATCTGGGTAATTCCATGATATATCAAAACTAAGTGATTTATGATCACTTTTCTCAAGGTTATTAATTAGTGATTCTTTGTTGACAAGAACCAAGTCAAGCAGATTGTTTCCTCTAGTTGGTTCTGTCACAAACTGTTCTAAAAAGCAATCCAGAACCGTGTCAAGAAAGTCACTAGACTCAAGATTTCCTGTCGTATTGTTTCAATCAATTTGTCTAAAGTTAAAATCTCCCATTATCACAAAATTGTCATATCTAGATGCCTTATGAATTTCGTCCCAAAACAGCTTACTGCACTCTCTCTCAAGGCTTAGGGCCTATAAGTCACACCCAAAATTAATTTGTCACGACCCCCGAGAAACTGTAGCCAAACAGATTCTGTGTTTGATGTTTCTAATCTTATATCATGTCTAAGACAACAATTTAAATTATCTCTGACATACAACGCCACTCCACCACCCTTCCTGTTGACCCTATCAGTGTGGAATAGTTTATAACCCTGTATGCTGCATTCAGAAGGCATTTCTCTATCTTTCAGGTTAAACCAGGTCTCTGTTATACCAATAATATCTATATTACCTACACTTGCAAGTAATCGTAGCTCATCTATCTTATTTCTTAGACTCCTACTATTTGTATAGTAAACCTTAAGGGAGCTAGTCACTCGTTGCCATCTACTATCTCTCTTTGTTTGTTGATTATTTGATTTGCCTTTACTAGCAACTTTTTTTTGAATATTGTCTTTTAAACATATCCCTGAGGTATCCCGGTAATATCTGCTGATTTCAACCCTAATGCTGCAGCCTGATTGTTTCCCACAAACACCCATACCTCCATAATCTATCGGTTTAAAGTCCTAGACAAGTCATCAATTACCCCCTCAATCGAAATGGCTAATGCAACCACTCCAGCCCCAGAGAGATGAACCCCAACCCTTGCATACATATCACGTTTGCCGTAGAAGTTGTCCCAGTTATCAATGAATGGGAGTGCAGGTTCCTTGCAGTACCTGTCCAGCCAGCAATTTATACCAATTGCCCTAGACATCCATTCATTGCCCACTCCCTTTCACTCTAGGTGTGTGTGTGTGTGTGTGTGAAGCATTATTCGTGAGTACATAAAGTTTATAGAATTGGTTATACCCCACTACCCATCAGCTGCACACAGTTATACCAGCTGTATGCTTGCATGTTGCCGAGTTAGAAGGAAGTATACTTCTTGCAATTGCTTTTTTTCGTGAAAGAGGTTGACTGTAGGGCGCTTGCTGAAAGTGGTTGTTGCAAGGTGCTTGATGGTGGTGTCCTTGCCTAAGATATTTGAAGATGATGAAAGGTTCGTTGTAATCTGTAATTTGTTTGAAGTAAAGTCTCCACAAATTGGGGGTATAATTATCCTTGTTGGACATAGAATGATTCTGGTGGTACCCATTCTTCTGTCTCTTTGAGGAGATCACTCAGGATCATTGGTGTCGAGAAGTTCTCCTTGTGGATGAAGCGTCGCACTCTCTGTTGAAGGGTCATCGTTTGGGTTCTGTGGGGAGGTACGTTGATGATGTAGTTATCAACGTAGTTAGGGAGAATTTTCTCTGTCTGGTATATTGAGTCCCTGCATGTCGTATAGTTGTCTCTTTTGTAGTTTATCTAGCCTGATATTTATTGCATTGATTTCCTGTTGGAAGTATAGGTCTTCCATCCTGATTCCGTCTCTCCACTTGGTACTCATGATAAAGTGGAGTGCTCTGTTCTGGACTTTTTTTTTAGCCTTAACATGTCGGATTTTGTTGCTAGTGACATGGACACGCAAGGATATTCAGGCGAAGGTCTTACCATCAACTTGTAAAGGTGCTTCTTGATGTGGGATGGGGCTTCGTTAAACCTGAATAGTTGGCTGAGGCGGACTTTTGGAGATGTGGAGTGGTGTAATCCGTCGATCTCATATCCCAGAATCTTATTCAGGTTTCTGAGAGCGATAGGTGTACCTCTGATGGAGATACCTCCTGTGTTGTCAATAGTTATTGCAAGGTAACCGATAGAGCTGATGAAGACTTTCTCTGGATTGGTCGTGAGTCTTCATTTCTTCTCTCAGTTGGCTGGTCTTCGTAGTTCCACATTCATTTTCTATTTTACCCTTCTATGTTTGTTTTTGGAAGATGGATGGAGAGATAATATTGTCAGCAAATTGGGTGACGATAGTATAGCTGAATTCAGGTTAGGGAGATCGTTTACGTATATATTAAAGAGTATGGGGCAGAGGCACAAGCCCTGTGGCACTCCAGCTGTCGGTGTGAAAGGTTCCGTCGACTTATCGTTAAAGGTGGGAATGATGCTTCTTGACAAAATGTTGTATATGAGCCTGAGAAAGGTCCAGTTGTGGTCCGGAAGGTCAGCAAGTTTGAGTATGAGGCAGTTGTGCCATAGGCTGTCGAAGGCTTTGTGTGCATCCCTAGTAGCAATTAGGGGTAAATTCCCCTGTTTCCTAAGGCTATCTACCACATCGAAGATAATATTGATAGCGTGTTGGGTTCCTCGGTGGGTACTGAAGCCAAACTGCTTTGCAGTGAAGAGATGGTTGAACTCCATATAGTAGTTCAGTCTATCGGAGATGATTTTATCAGAGACTTTACCAATAACTTCCAGTAAGGAGATAGGTCTGTAGTTCTCCGGTTTGCGGTTGTTTTTATATGTTTTAGCAATGAATATCATCCTTTCCATCTTAAGTGCCACGGAAGTGTCCAGATGCCAAAATGGCGTTATATATATTAACCAGAGACATCTTGCAGTTGCGGGATAAGTACTTTAATTGTTTTTCTGTTATGCCTGAGGGTAATTGGTCTGGTGGGGAAGGGGGTGTTCGATTTCACTGGTAGCTGTACCAATTGTTGGTACTGTGTGGAAGTTCGTCCAGTTGTTGCCCCTCCATTGGTTAAGCCACTGGTAGTGACTGTTGTTGAATATTCTACTATCTTTGTGTGAGAAAGTTTTCTCCCACACTTCACCCATCAGATTGGCTTGGTCTTGTGAGTCCTAAATAAAGGTAGTCACTTCTTTATCATCTTAGCTCCCAGCAGCTGGCGGATCTTACTCTGGAACTGTTCCGGATGGTGTTTGTTTTGATTATCCTGGAGAACAAGATATTTCCATATTTCTATTTTATGCTGGGTGATTTGGGTGATGAATTCTCTTTTCAGCCTCCGCAATACAGCCCTTATGGGCTGTCCCGTTTGGTTGTGTCTTCTACACTCAGCTTGGTAATTATTCATGCTGTCCTTGATCTCTCTGGTTGGTTTCTACTGTTGGTAGATCTTTGATGTTAGTTCTCAGCACGCCAGGGTGGCCACGGTGTGATTCTTTCGTGGAGGGAGCTGATCGCCCAGTCTATTGCAGTTGAAGGCTGGTTCTCAAGCGAAACAGTATGGTCATCCCCTAAGTAGTCCCTGAAGGGGTCAAAGTATAGTGTTCATGAATTTTTCTCTAATGTTTGAAAGTGTTATGCAGAAAATTCATTACTTTGTGTGAGTCTACGTTGAAGCTTATTTTCCAAGTTTCCGACCACAGCACCAACATGTAAAGATAACTATGAATGATCAAGGAATCTATTTTGGAGGCTGAACTACTTTAAAATACGTTATGATATTGCAAGTTTTCCTGTCTCAGTTGTCGGTCATTATTGCACATTTTGAAGACTTTTTTCGGCGCATGTACACCCCCTTTCTTTAAATTGGCTATCCCCCCCAACCCAGCGATCCAGCTGCAAAGGGGTTGATGAGGGGGGGGGCCCCATCTTTTCGACCCAATTCCCCAGGTTTCCACCCATGAGAAGGGTTTTGGAAAATTGCAGAGGTGTTGGGGGGACCACACACGTGTCTGCCCTTGCCCTTTTTCCCATTCTAGAGCGGGTTTTGAAGCACGGTCTGCTCTTAGTGGCTTCTATTCTCCCTTTGCTTCCCGTGGAGTGCACAAAAACCCTATTGTTTTTACATAGTTTATACAGGTTCCCATAATTCGGGAATTACTTGGTGAAGGATATTATAAGCAAAATTTTTTTCTGCTCTGTTTTTTTTTGCCCCTTTAAAACCCGGGATAACAGGACTTTGGATTCCGGGGGAGGGTAATACCCTTAATTTTCCCTTCCCGTGCGTGGCGGGTGTGTGCTCCAAACTTTTGGGCTTCCCTGCAAACTCCAATAGGGTCCTAAAACGATTCCTTACGAGTTTGTCGGAAGTTATCCTTAAAATTTGCTAGTCCCCATATGCTGAAGAAATAGGGCAAATGGGGCCCTCAGGAGATGTGCTGGTGAGGTTTGTAGTTTTGCCCCCCCTAAAATGATTCCGTCAGCGCTTTTTTCCCCTTCCCCAGTCCCCCAAGACTTTGCATTTGGTGGGGTTTGGGAAACCCCAGGAGCCAATTTTTTGGACCGGGCCTGTGGGCCTGTCCAGACCCCATTGAAAAAACCTCCCCTCCGATTAAATTTTTTTCTCTTTAAATTTTTCACATTATCTCCAAAAACTGGGAACACTTCTGATTCAAAACCCTTTCCCCGTCATACTTTCAAAATTTTCCAGAAACAGCACAAGCCCTTTGGACTGCCCCCTAGGGAAACCCCCCGCTCGTAAACGGGCGACCACTCTGACCCTCGTCACATCCCATGATTCGCTGACTTTTTCCCCGTCGGGTTTTTCCCCTGACCCAATGCAGTCCCTTTGTTATACCTCCCCTGGTCCTCCAGCTTTTGCATTTACTTTTGTGGAATTTTTGTCAAAACCTTTTAACAGTCCAAGAAAATGCAGTCAAACCCCCCCCTCTCTTTCTTGTTTAAACTGCTGTCCACCTGTCATGGGCCTCCAAAGTTTAGTGCCCAAGGGTTTTCCCCGTCCCTAAAACCGTTTTTGGTTCATTGATAAGCTCTTTCCCTTTCCCGGTCTCCAAAACCCTTTTTTTCCAGATAATAATTTCTCCATGACTTTGCTAAATTTCACATGTCAGCCCAAATTGGGTTTGGGAGTTTTTAAAGCTTCGTGTTTTTATCCCCTTTTTAAAACTGGGGCTCGTTTTCTGTCATCCATTTCTTCAGGGATCGCCAGTTTAATAGATGTGTTTTAAGATTTGTTTGTTTTTGGGACGCAGAGCACCTCTCTCCCCTCGCCTTTTAGATATTTACTCGTTTTGTAGACTTTTTCCTCCTCGGTTTTATGTATAGTGTCCAACCTTGATGGTTACCCCCCCTCCCGTCTTTTGGAGTCCCTTCATGTCTCCTTTTTTGAAATCTTTGAATTCCCTGTTGAGCTCCTCAAAATACTTCTCGGTCGTTTTTTGTTTTCTACCCCCCCCCCTTCCTGGGGCCCGAAATTTAATGGCTCTTGACTGTTGTTTTTCCTCCTGGTCTGGCTTAATCAGCTTCGGGTTTAGTTTTTTCTTTTGCTGCTAAAGTCATTACCGTGTTTTTCCGAGCATAATTTTAAATTTTTGTCTCTAGTCTCCCCTTTTCCCTTTTTCCCTGGGTTCTTTGTGTTGTTTGTGTGTTGGGGTCGTGATGTGGTGGGTGTGTGTATGTGCGTGTGGTTGCGTGTGGTGTGTGTATGTGTGTGTGTGGTGGGGGTTTGTGTGGTGTGTGTGTGTGTGTGGGGTGTGTGTGTGTGTGTGTGTACCCCAAACCTTTTGTTTTTTTTTTTACCCCTAGTTGAGGTTTCAGGGGTCGGGGTCCCGCTCCCCGGCCCCGCCCCTTCACTGGTCGCTACTAGGGCACTCTCCCTGAACCATGAGCTTTATCGTACCTCTGCTTTAAAAAAAAAAACTTTGTAGGATCCGCCTCCATACATCGCTTCCCCAAAATATTCCCCTTCCCGACTACTCTTGGCTGAAGAAAAAACTTTTCCCAACATCCTTTGGGTTCATCTGTGTCTTTAGCTTCCAACTGTGCCCCCTGTTGGCTGTGTCCAGTTTTCTGGGAAAACCCGTCTTTGTCCACCTTGTCAATTCCCCCCAGTATTTTGTAAGTTTGTTTTTATGTCCCCCCTACTCTCCTTTTCCCCCAGTTTTCGTCAGGTTGAAATTTCCCCTTTAAACCCCTCCACATAGGAATTTCCTCTTTAAATCTGGGATTTGTCCTTTTTGCAAACCCTTTTCACTTTCCCCTAGTTTCTTTACATGTTTGGGGTAGGTGTGGGTTTTTGGGTTTGCCGCTCTCTAATATGGCCTAAGTACACGGTGTACGGGCCCCTGAACGATTCCCTTTATTAAGATGTCGGAATGCTGTTTGGGTTTGCCGGCGCCCCTATGCTGCGGCGTTATTTGGTTTATGTGCGCTTCAGGAGATGTGCCTGGGTTATTTTTCACCCCAAAATCTTTTTCCTTGAGTTATGTTTGTAGTCTCTGGCCCCCCGACTGTACTCCGTCTGCGGTTTTTCTTTGCCCCTTTCCCCCAAACCTCATGATTTGCATTGGTGGGATTGAACTCCCGGAGCAGTTTCTGGCCGGTCTCCAGCCCGTCCAGATCCTTTGTATTTTGCCCGGTCTTCGATCGAATGTTCTTCATCAACTTCACGATCTGCAAACAGGGACACCTCAGAGTTATTCCCCTTTCCCCTGTCGTTCACAAAAACCCCGAAACAGCAGGTCCCAGGGTGACCCCGTGGGACCCCCCTGGTCCATTGCCATCTGAACCCCGCAGTCCTTTTCTCGCTGCTGTCTTCTGCAAATATTTCCGATCCCTTGCAGTGCCTTCCTTTATCCCCGCTTGGTCCCCCAGTTTTGCCAATCTTTGTGTGGTCTGTGTGAAAAACCTTTTGCAGTCCAAGAAAAAGATTCACCACCCCTCTCTCTTTGTCTTACTGCTGTCACCCTGTCAAGAACTCCGTAGGTTTGTGAACAGGATTTCCCGTTCTGAAACCATGTTGGTGCTGGTGTGAGATCATTCTTTTAGATGTTCCACCCTTTTTTCTCCCCGCAAACTTTTTCCCTGATTTTTCAGCTATACATGTCAGTGGGAAATGGTCTGTAGTTTTGTGTTTATGTCTGTCCCTTTTTTTTAAAGATTGGGACCACATTTGCTGTCTTCCATGCCTCAGGCAATCTCCCTGTTTCGATTAGATATATTGATTTGTTGTTAGGGGAACACATAGCGCCTCTGCTCCCTCTTCAGGACCATGGAGAGATGTTATCTGGTCCCATTGCCTTTGAGGTATCTAGCTCACTCAGAAGCCTCTTCACTTCTTCCTCGGTTGTGTGTACTGTGTCCAGCACATGGTGGTGTACCCCACCTCTCCATCTTTCTGGAGCCCCTTCTGTCTACTCTGTGAACGCTTCTTTGAATCTCTTGTTGAGTTCCTCACATACTTCACGGTCATTTCTTGTTGTCTCTCCTCCTTCTTCCTTAGCCTGATTACCTGGTCCTTGACGGTTGTTTTCTTCCTGATGTGGCTGTATAACAGCTTCGGGTCAGATTTGGCTTTTGCTGCTATGTTGTTTTCATACTGACGTTGGGCCTCCCTTCTTATCTGTGCATATTCGTTTCTGGCTTTAAAACTGCTCTCCTTATTCTCCTGGGTCCTTTGCCTTCTATATTTCTTCCTTTCCTAGCACACTTGGTTTTTGCCCCCTTGATCTTTGGGGTGAACCATGGGCTCATCCTGGCTTTTCCATTATTCCTGTTCCCCTTTGGGGTTTCAACCTCTCCTCAGCCTCCTTGCACATTGTTGCTACATATTCATCATCTATTAACTAGTTTCCCCTGCCAGTTCTCTGTCCCACTGAACCTCATTCGGAAGTTCCTCATTCCTGTGTAGTCCCCTTTCCTGTAGTTTGGTTTAAATTTGTCCTGGCCTTCCTGCTTCCCCTCCACTTTTTGCTTACTGTGTATTCGAAGCTCAAAACCACATGATCGCTGGCCCAAGGGGTCTTTCATATGTGATGTCCTCAATTCTGCACTACTCAAGGTGAATACTAAGTCCAGTCTTGCTGGTTCACCCTCTCCTCTCTCTCTTGTAGGTCCCTTACGTGTTGGTACATGAGTTTTCCAGTACCCCCTCCATCATCTTAGCCCCCATGTATCTTGGCCCCCATGTGGCTCCAAGTTCTCCCTTCGATCTCCTTGTGGTTAAAGTCACCCATGATCAGGAGCTTT